GCATTCCTGACATAAAAACGAATCGATTCATGTATATAAAGTATATATTTTATCAATATTTATAGAGTTAATAAATATTTTAATTTTTCTACAAAAATTGAAATTTTGTATTTTTTGAAATTTTATCTTAATACTTTAAAATAATTATTATAAAATAAAAAATTAAACAATTGGTATATATTATATTCAGAAAGCTTTTTTATCTTCTTTCAATTATTGATAGTTAAAAGTGCCAATAAATTTTTTGGTATTTTTTTTAACTTTACGTTCTGTAGGCCTCTGAAAATAATTTACTAAATCATACTTCTGTCTCAGAAAAAAACAAAAGAAATATTTATAAAAAAATGCATGTGAAAATAAATGGATTTATACAATATAGAATAAAGTAAAGATAATTTTAGAAATGTAGAAAGATTTATAAAAGTCAAACTTACTATTTCGACGCCTCCCGTTCATATAATGCTTATTGAAAAACAAATGCAAGATCATTCTTATTCAGTTTTTAGTGCAAGACAATTCTTATTCGATTTTCCGTGCAATAAAATGCTTATTCAAAATTCTATGCTAAAAAGTACAATCTGAAATTAGCTTACACTATGAGTTTTATAAAATTTTCAATTGAATATAATTTTTAATTACAATTGCTTAAACAATATTTCTTAATACGTAAGAGATAGTCAAGTATTAAATTTTCTAATAACAATAGATACGCACTGAAATTCTCAGATATTTAATTGCAATTTAATATTAAAAAGATGATTTAGGGTTACATTTATTGTTCTGTCAGTGGCAATTGTTTTGCACACAATTTTGAATAAGCATCTTATTGCACGGAAAATCGAATAAGAATTGTCTTGCACTAAAAACTGAATAAGAATGATCTTGCATTTGTTTTTCAATAAGCATTATATGAACGGGAGGCGTCGATTTATTCAGTATGATTAATTAATATTAATAGAAAAGAAATATAAGTGTGGTTTCTGTAAATATTATACAAAAAATGTAAGTACTCCGTCATTTCGATGAAAATAATTTATTTCAATATATGCTTTTCTATAAGATTCATGAGATGCAAAATTTCGTTAATAATCTTGAGAAATATTATCTTTAAACTTTTTTCAAAGTTCATTTAAATGAACTGGTTGGCAGTACATTAAAATACGTACAAATAAGTGTCTTAATTATCTGAAGTTTGAACTATTATTTGAAATTAGGAAATTAAAACGTCTTTGACCAATTGATAAGAAAGAAACGTGTAAAGAAATCTTACGTGTGAATCTTATTACAAAAAAATGACGCAATTTACCAATAAGAAGCGTCGAAGAAAGTCTCACGCGTAAAGACAGCCATACTGAGACACACTCCTTTTTTAAGAAAAAAAATATATAACGACTCAGACATTTTTAAAGAAAAAATATTTACTTTTATTTCAATAATTCAGTGTAAACATAATTCTTGATTAGTAAATTAGGTCTTTGATTTCCTAAATATATAATTAATGATTCCCAAGATTTAACTCGTGAAAATGCAACATATACTTGCCCATGATTAAATACATTTTTACGAAGGTCTACACCAATCTTGTCAAAAGTTTGTCCTTGGCTTTTATTTATTGTCATTGCGAATGCTAATTTTATAGGAAATTGTCGTCGTTTGAAAGTAAAAGGATAAATATCCTCACAATACAGCGTAATACGATTTATAAATACAATATCTCCAACCTTATCACCTGTTAAAATACGACAACGTAGCAGATTGTTTGATAGTTCTAATACCTGCATTCGCGTTCCATTACATAAACCTTCATTAATACTAAGATTTCGAAGTAGCATGACAATACAATTGGCTCTTAATCGTAATTCATAATGCGGGAAATTTGATGGATTTAAAGTATTCAAATACTATGTTAAAATAGCATCATTTATAAGTATAAATTATCATTATCACAATTTTCGGTACTATCAACACTTGTATAAATTCGCTCACTTTTATTATCAAACAGTTCGAGTACCTTGTTGTTAATTTCATCAACATCAACATTTCGAGCAGACAATATTGCTACTTTTGCTAAATCATCGTATTTTTTATTGATAATTAATTCTCCAAATATTTTATGAATGATATCACCATTCTCTACACATTGCTCTGGTGCTAGTATATTATTATCATTATCATTTAAAGTACCATTTCCAACTGATAATAAATATTCTGAAAATTCTATTTCACCAGGTAAAGTTCTCATATTTTCTGTTAATGATATTACCTTAAAATGACTCCATAATGTGCTAGATTTAATAGATAAATTAACTAATTCGCTTCTAGTAGCATTAACTTTAACAGGCAATAATTGTCTAAAATCACCACCCAAAAGCATAGTTTTTCCACCAAATGGCATATCAACATTCATAAAATCGAGTAATGTTCTATCAATTAATTCCATAGCATATCTTTGCGCCATTGGAGCTTCATCCCAAATAAAGACATCAACCTCTTTCAAAAATGTAGCTTCCTTAGATTGACTTTTAATATTTGATGTAGACTCCGCCGCTGGTTGTCCACTGCCGAACATCATCGATGTCTTCGATGTGCTGGGAGAAGTGGATGCATATCCACTGCCAGACATGATTGACATCATGGATATGTTCGGTAGACCTTGTCGTGGTGGCGGGGCTTTCAACTAAAGGACAACCAAACAGCAAGAAAAAATGAATTCAAAAAATTCTGAGAAGGTACCCCATGTGAGCAGGCCGGAAACGGGAAATCTCACCATCGGTCCCAGGACCGATGCTCAAGTGCGCGCGGATTGTGGGGGCGCACAATTTCTTGCAGTGCCACGAGTGATCGTGGAAAGGGTAGATCCACAGAACATCGTGGAAAATAAAAAAACAAGGAAAGGAAGCACGTCGAGCCTTCTGAGTGTGTCAAGCTGCAGTAGCGGAAAAACCGTTCATAGCGCTATCCACTCAGAAGTAGACGACGAGGCGATAAAAGAGACTCGCGAGATATGCTTGCGGCTCAGAAAGGAGGAGGCGACTTGTCTCGAAAAAATGGAGTTGGAGGTCGCAAAGATGATAAAATCTTGCGACATTCAGAAGACCGTCAATAGGACGGTAAAGGATGGACTCAAGGTCATCGACGTCCTGCTAAAGGAGGCAAGGGCAAAGCATGCCGCGGCCGATGAGTCGGACTTCGATTTGGCATGCGTTCTGAGCGGTGCGGAATGCAACCGCAAGGACCGTAAGAAAGAGAGAGAGCGTTTCTATAGGCGTAATCTCAAAAGCGTCTTAAGAGATGCTCAGAAACGGAAGAGAGAGGGTGACAGTCCAGAAGAGACTCGAACCAAAACCGATAAGAGGAAGAAGGAGGAAGCTCCTCCAATGGAAACGGAAGTACCAGATCCAAAGATTCCTCAATTGGAAAGAATTGGGTCAAAAAGATCCACAGTTCTAATCCGAGTCGGTGAAGAATTGACGTATGCTGACGTTCTGGGTAAGCTTCGCAAAGAGGTCAACCCAGAGGACAGCCATACGAGAATAGTAGCAGCAAAAGCTACAAACAAGGGGGACCTTCTGATTAAGTTCAGAGGAGACTCCGATAAGGACGCTTTCACCGCTGAGGTCACCAAGGCGGTTGGAAGCATGGGTAAGGTGCAGTCATTGGATCGAAGAGTTACACTCGAGATCCGTGATTTGGATTGCCTTACCCAAGAAGCTGAGGTGCAACAAGTGTTGTCTGAAGCAATGGGTAAGCCAGTAAACAGGAGAGTGACGGTCTTAGGACCCAACCGCCGATGGATGAAGCTCGCGGTTGTAGTCACCAACCTGGAAGAGGCGAACAGGCTGGAGAAATTGGGACACGTAAAAATTGGTTTTATGTGTTGCCCAATCAAAAGAAGAGTAATGGTCGTCCGGTGTCATCGATGCCTGGGATACGGCCATATTGGAGCCAAATGCCAGAAGGAGGACAGATCAGCTGCGTGCTTTAAGTGCGGTGAGGCCGGTCACAGGTTCTCCAACTGTAAAAACAACTCAAGTTGCTTTTTGTGCAAGGAAAAGATTGGCAATAAGGTGTCAACCACCCATATTGCAGGCAGCGGAGGATGCGGAGTCTTCAGGACGGCCCTTGAGGAGGCGAAGAAGACTCTCGCAAGAACTAAAAGCAAATAAGAAGTATTAAAAGGAGCCAAAAAGCGTGATTTAAACAGCTTTTAATTTGTTTGTTTGTTTTTTATTAATTTATTTTGTGATTTATTTGTCCTTATACATTTTTTTGTTTAATTTGTTTTGTGTTTTTTATTCGTCTTTAAACAGTTTTATCTTTTCAACATTATATACGTGTTTACTTTTTTTTCTTTTCTTTTTTATATCCGTTTACAATTTTATCTTTTGACTTTTTACACTTCTTAAAATATTTGTTTTTTTTATTATTTTTGTGCTGTGAATTCCGCTTGGACTTTGTAATAGTTTTAATCATTTTTTTTAACTACGGACGCAGGAGGACCGCAGAGAAAGGGAGAAGGTCGCATTAGCGACAGAGTTGGAGCGCCACCCTCGAAGGCTAAAGTCTTACGACAGTTCCGAGGGAGGGTAAAGGGCTCCAGAAGAAGGGTTACTGGTTTTAGTGGGTCGGGCTGGTAGTAGGTCGCCAGTTTATTAAATTTATTATAACATTTATGTATTTATCTTTTTTTTTTAATATTCCCTTTTGTTTCATTGTACCAACCCCACATAACCTTGGAGTGCGGAATCCAAGGTATCTGTAGGCAGATTTCCCAAAAGTCCCTAAGCAAAAAAAAAAAAAAAAAAAAAAATATTTGATGTAGAATCATAGAACAATGGAACAGACATCCCAAACGTTTTATGTACAGTTTTACCACGGAGAAGTAATATTGCGGCAATGCCTGTAAATGCCATAGTACAAACACATTTTCCTTTACTTCTTAACAAATGGTATAAAGTTGTATAAACAAAAGTTTTTCTGGATCCACCTGGTCCATCAATTTAATAACATGAAGAAGATGGTATTCTTTTATCTTGGATAACTACATTTAATACTTCATCAACAATATCCTTCTGTTTGGAATTCAGTTTCACATATTGCATTTCACCAATCTCTTTATGTTGTTGTAATGACATTTCGTTGTTCGTTTGATTTTCTGTTTCAATACTTATTTCATTTAACTGTATCATTTCAGGAAAATTGCGAATATTTGATCCTTCATGCAACAGAAAGTTAATTATATCATTATATGCTCTTTTATGAGCTTCATTAGATGGATAATTTTCCTGATAATCTTCAGACATAGCCTCTTTAAACTTTTCCCAAAGTTCGTTTGGATGAACTGGATGGCAATAAATTAAAATACGCACAAATAAACGTCGTAATTGTTGTGGCATCATCCATACTTCTCCTTCTGTCAAAGCACGTTCCCATTCTTCATCATCTTCAATAAGGCCTAATGCTAAACATGCACTACGAAAAGTGTCATGTACAATATTGTTGACAGTTCGCAGATGATCATAACTTGTAGCGCCTTTAACTACTATTAAAAGTAATCTAAGATGAAACAGTTTTGATTGACTGGGCGAAATTGAATGCATCCGTCCAATGTCATTAAATGACCCTTTACGCTTCACCCATTTTAATGTATATTCACCACGTTCTCTCTTAAAAACATAATAACATGGAATTTCTGCATATGTATATTGTCTAGCTTGTGGATCACGCCTATTTAAATCGAAGTATTCTAATAACATAGTCCGTTTCTGTAAAGCTTCATTTATAGCATCATCATTTGCTTCTTCACTAATGGTTACAGTATGCCGATTAATTAAATGAACAGGTAATCGGAGAACAGAATGACTCTTACTCTGTAATGGTCTACCAAATATTCTATCACATGCTTCAACAGGACTAACATATCGAGTTTCAATAAAGTTTTTTATTTCATCACATTCTAAAGAACTTGTATTATTACTACTATCGGTAATTACTACAACAGCAGCATCATGTCCCTTAAAGATATATTTATACAAATATTTTACGGATTTAATACTTGAAACTACTTCTGCATTAATATGACAATTAAATAACTGAAGTAATGTAGGATTGTATGGAACAACGTATTGATTATCTGTAGTTCCTCCATTTAGGCGATCGTATTGTCCTGCATTTAGGCGGCGATACGTTGGGTATCCGTTTTCATCCATTATTGTCTCAGAACAGAATTGCTTTGGGAAACCTTTCAAACATTTACTATTATTATCTTTACACCAATTTCCACATGGGCCATGAATCATATTTTTCATAACGATGTCATGAAGTATAACATTTTCTGATTGACTTGGAATTTCTGTCGAAATATATTTGTCTACAATCTCGGGTGTTGTTATTTTATAATTTTGTTTCAAAGTCACTAATAAATGCATATGCGGCAATCCTCGTTTTTGATATTCAATGACATACACATAAGCAATCACTTCGCCAAATAATTGTTCCTTTACAATAGTATTAATAAGTTTATCTTTTTTTATGGTAAAAACACGCGATACAATATCTGGTCTGTCAGAGGCAGTTTGGTTAGGTAATAAATTTTCCTTTATTTCACGCCAGTTTGGATTACACGTCATCGTAATAAAAAGATCAGGTTTACCAAATTTTCTCACAATAGCCATTGCATCTTGGTAATGCTGTAACATATTTCTCGGAGAACCTGTGAAAGATGATAGAAGTATTACAATTTTCCCAACTTCATTGTTCGAATCATCAGCTCTTCTTTGTAAATGATCAATTAGACCTTCGTAAGTATCGGCACGAAGTTTTTTTTGATTATTTCGACAGAAATTTGTCCTATCTTTTTCAATTTTCACATAACTGTCGACAATCCATTGCTGAAATAATCTACCACCCTTTAAAAATACATTGTTGTCCCTAGAAGCCATTCTATGCCTGATGTATGCAGCTCTTGATACACGTTTATTTGTATTAGCGCAGGTCAGATTTTTGTCCCAACCTCTTGTTTCATGTGGATAAAATAAAGGATATATCCATGGCTCAACATTGGGATTCATAGAATTTATATATTCTAAACTATTTGTATTCTTATTATATACGGTAACATATGATTCTGGAATATCACCATCAGCAGTTGTAGTAAAAATTGCTGCAACTTCATTGACACTTTGTAAATTATAACGTCTACTATCCATCCCAGGCTTTAATGAAAATAATAATTGCATCTCAGGCTCAATTTCTGCATTATTTTCAGTCATTGTTTTTTTAATTTCTTCATGCATCATACGGTAGGACTGTGCAAATAGGTTACAATCCCGAAGGGCTGTATCAATTCCATCAACAATATCTCGGTTTAATGGAACATTATTCTTACAACGAATTTTGGAAGCTTCGTTTTGATCAACAATAAATAACTGTCCAAATGAAGGAGTATCGTTTCTTTCTGCATACAAAGATGTATTCATTTGATAATAAACCTGACCATGTATATTGAAACAATATGGTCCTGGTCGTCTTTTGTCAAAATTAACTAAGTTAGCGTTGAAAGAAGCAAAACCAAATGAATTATTGTAAGGTCGTATATTATGAAGAAAATGCCCAGATAATTCGTGGGTGCCATCAAATAAATTTTGTAATATGAGTGGAGGAGCAGGTAGATCTTCAAGAATGACTTCGCCATGTTTACAACAATCATGAAATGAGTTTTTTTATTAGATACTCTTTCTGCTTGGAAATGTTTAGCATTACAATGCTCACATGAAATGTTCATCGCACCAGCAAAATGTTCTTCTATATGCGAGACTGAAATACTGTCAGAGAAATTTTGATTCTGTGCAGAAGCCCGTTTCTTTGGCGATGAGTTTTTTGATAAGCTACATTTTTTTGACTACCGGAAATATTAGTATTTGACAAATTTGCTGTAACAGTTACATTATCTTTTGCCAAAGATGTAGTAACAGATGTAGAGGATTTTTCTAAATTTATATTTGATTTTGACACTGTAATAACACTGTCCTTTGTTTAAAGTGATTGAGGGTTGAGAATTCTATTATTCTCTTGTTTTTTTTGTCGAAACTTTCTTTGATAAGCAGCTTTCTTTTGACGTTTCATGACTTGATGTTGTTCTTCTTCCTGTAAAGAACATATTATTGATCTTTTTTTTACTTGATTTTCATTTTTTAAATTAGTATATTTTGTAACATTTCTTGAATCATTACAATCATCATTAGTTTTTGATTTTATAAATAATTCACTGTTAACTTTATGTTCACAAAGTTTAACATAAGAATGATCACGTGTAATGTTCATTTCATTACAATAACCTATCTCTATATGTGACTTTGAAATAATATCAGACTGATTTTGTTTTTGAACAGAAGTATGTTAATTTTGTCGAGAGGTGCGCTTGTAAGCAACATTTCTGTCAAGAATTGACATTTTAACTTTAGAAGTAGAAATATTTTCTTCTGCTGATGATAAAGCTGTAGATGTGCTTTGGGGCCTCGTATTTAAAGTTTGCTCTGCACTAATGAATTCATTAGAATCCAATGATTCAGAGCGAACAATTTTATTATTTTCTCGCTTTTTTTGTCGATATTTTTTTTGATAAGCAGCTTTTTTTGACGTTTTATGATTTTATATTTTTCTTCTTCTTCAGGAAAATGAACCATAGCTCTTTTTTCTTCTTGCTTCTCAGTTATTATTAATTTTGTATCTTTCATTCCATTGCTTGAATCAATAGAAATATTATTAACATCATTTGCTGGAATTAAAGGCAAATTTTCTAAACTATCAACAAAATTTTTTTTACAAACATTGCTGGTTGAATTCAACGATGATAAATTATTGTCAACAATTTTATTTTCTTCATTTTGGAAACTTTTTCTCTAGCTCGATTCCTAAGAAGACACTCCCAATTATATTCAACAGTCATAGTTCTAATATTAGTCGACCTTACTGACGGAAACTTACTTAAACGATTGTTTTTGAACATTAACATTAAATAATTTCTCATGTTATAATAATAGTAATTGACAGAGTGGGGCATAATATTAAAAAATATCGATGTTGCGAATGCTATTGCATATATTCCACAAGCAAGACTATTGTTTGGTTGTTGATTAACAGTTGTGAAAACTACTGGAGGTTTAAAAGGATATAATCTACTTAAATATTTCCTTTGATCTTCATTTAAACATCCTTCATTAAGACTATCATAAATATAAAGCCTCATTCCATCATAATAAGTGCAAATCCAATGACCTTTCTTGATAGGTCCACTAAAAAGTATTTGAATATATGCTTTTTACCTTTTTCAATCGGACTAATAAATTCAAGCGTATATAAATACAAAGTGCTTTTCATGCTAAAAGCAGAATTTGATTCTCTTCTTAATAATTTTTCAAATTCATCAATATGAGTATCATTTAACATTCCTCCTTCAGTAAGTATAATATTAAAATCTGTAACACTTAAATTAACAGTTTCTTTTTTGTTCGACATGATTTCTTTCAATTTATTGAAAAGATATCGCTTCTAAAAAATAGTTTTTCATAAAATTAATTAATTCAGAACACATGTAAATAATGTTACTATTGTCACATTTAACAGTAACTGGAATTTTTATCTTATCCTTTCTTATTGAAGATTATTAAGAATGTAAAGAATGTATCTTCGTCTATTAATATTATTAATATCTTTATAAATAAGATCAGACTTTTGTCTGTACATTGCATAGAATTTGAAATTTCATGTTTAGTTTTTCTATTCGAGTAGTAAGAATTGCAAAAATGACAATAAAAAAAATTATGTATGTATGTATGTCTGTACGCAATATTTTGTCCGGGATAAACACAAAGACTACTTGACCGATTAAAACGAAACTTTACAGTCTCTTTGGTCTGAGTCTAACTTAAATTTATAGCCATATCCGATTGAAAAATATTAAGCTGAACGAAATTTATAGCTTTTTTCACAAAATTCAAAAATTCAAAAAAATGCAAATTTTTTAAATTTTTGTCAAATTGATGTGACACTTTTTGTAGCTACTTTTTAATGTAAATACAACTAATTTTTACTATAAAAATGAAATATAAATAATTAATCCGAATTTTTAAGCCAAAATCATATTTTTGATTTTCAACAATTAATTAATTTTTTTTGTTGAATATTGTTTAATTTTTTATTAAGTTGGTAGTGATATCGATTGATGTTTTTAAATTTTTAATTACATTCATTACATTTATTTTATTAAAAAGCTTAGAGTCATGAATTTGATGCCGATTACAAATTTTCTAAAATCAATTAACGTGAGAGTTTGCAAACAATTTCTATATTGATATTTTCAGGTTTTAAGTTTGAAAATTTCATAGTATGTATTATCATATTTAACGTAGAAAATAAAATATTTATGTTTAATATAAAGGGTATACAGTAAAAGTATCAATAATACTGAAATTTGACTTCAGCGGGCACTGGGACACAGAAAGTCCTTAAGATGCCATTAGGGCAAATTGGGATTTATGAATCAAAATTTTCTTTTTTTTGAATTCAAGAAATGTTTTAGAAATGACTTTAAAAATAAATAACAAATTCCTATTTATGAATTAAAATTGTTCTTCTTGAATTTTAGAAATGTTTGGGGTATGTTGTTGCTTTCCAAAATTCTATCCGGGCATTACGCAAAAACGGGTAAAATGTAAAATCCCATGTGGAAATTTTTAATAGGGATATGGAAAAATTATACCATACGGTTTTACATAGGAATCAATATGGTTTCCTTTATAAAAGTGGATCCCATGTAGATTTCCCATGTGGGAATCAAAAACGTGTTATAATTTCTACTAATACATTTAACAGAGTGTCTATTAATCGCAAAGGTATCCCGAGAAATAGCCGGGAATTTAATTCGACTAGAAAAATCGGGAATTTTCTTATCTAATTAAAAAAAGTTTTATTATATTAATTCATTTTTAAAAAATTGTTTTTGCTTTAATTTCTATTGATGTAATATTTTTATTTGTCAAAATTTAAGACCTACTTTCAGATTACAATATAGGTCTTATTTTTGATTTTAGCAGTCGTAACGTGGGGCCTGCTTGCGATACAATTAGTTCGAATTAGACTCTTATATAACTCCAAAAGCTGGTGGAAAATTAGTATTAATTATTAACGGCGTTGGAGGTCGGGAACTGTC